GATTACATTAAAAAATTTTTATACAAAACTACATTGAAATCAGGATATTTTTTTTCAAATTTTTGCTTGAGAGCTTTGATGACATCCAAACTTCTTTAATGTTTGTAATATTAAAATGACTATCTGGCTTTAATTAATTGATTAGTGGTGCATTCGCATATTATCAATTAATTGCAGTTTTTGCTAAAAAGATGTAATATTTAATAGTTATCAGACAGACACTGTCTGATAACGGTTTTATCCGGCGGCTTATTATGAGTTCCCGCCCAATAATAAAATTATTGGGCAAGGACAATAGTTTAAACTATTTTAAACTTCGTTTCTGCCAATAATTTTATTATTGGGCAGACAAATCATAGTAAACTGCCGGATAATTATAGCCTACTTATAGGTAGCTAACGTCAAATTACTGCATCGGATGCTAGTATTATTTATGGAATAAAATCCTTCATTACTACATTATTATATGCATTAATAAATGTGTTCAGATTAATTTATTATAATACCTCGATAGATATTAATTTATCTTTTAGATAAATTATTTAATGAAGTATATAAATCAATCTAAATAACAATACAAAGTTCTTGAGATTTACAGTTTTAGGGAATGAAATGCATGAGCAAAATTAATAACTTTAAAAGAAATACAATTCTATTGAAGTTCGTATAAGAAAAAATATGTACCAGTTTCTATTCAAATGTTGGTTCGAAAAAAACCCTTGATTTTTTATTGTTCTCTATTAACGCAGGAAATATTTACTAAAATGACATAGATTTGATACGTTTGGTGGTTTATTTAGGTCTTAATTTGATGGTTTCTTACAATTTAACAAAGTAACAGTCGATGTTAAAGCTACTTGTGACAAACATTTGCATTTTTTTTTTTTGATGAAATAATATTACTGAAAAACTAATAACAATATTAATGTGTAATTTTTTTATTGAATATTTGTTTCTAGTTCCGATTTTATTACCATTCCTACCTAACTTAATATTAACAGACGATCATCTTATCTCACATTTCTACGTAAATGCCTGCCTCAATGTATTGCAGGGTATAACGTTTCACAACATTTCAAGATTAGCTATATATCGGAAGCAAACTCCGTTATTATTAAATTCATAATCTCTCAAAATGATAAAGTTACCAAACGAATGTCTTTACAAAATATTCAATAACCTCCAAACTGATTTTAAAAGTTTATTTTCATGCCTACTTGTAAATCGAAAATGGTGTAGAATAATTATACCAATATTATGGAGTGAACCAACAAACTATTTCAATAATGGAAAACTTGTAAAAATATATCTTTTAGCATTAAATGCTAAAGAACAAGCTTTATTAATTCCCTTTAAAATTAATCTTCCAAATTACCCAAGGACATTATTTGAGTATGTAAGTTATACTAAATCCGTTGGCACTTGTTTACCTTATGGAATCATGCGTTGGCTTGGTATTGAAGAATCTTTTTATTTACTTTTTGATAAAAAAGTTGTCATTGAGCCTGTAAATGCTATTAAACATTCTTTGGTCTCAATGTTTCTACGAACAAGCAAAAATCTTAAATATTTAAATCTTGGTCGTATTATCATTAATAATACAATATTTGAAAGTCTTTATGTGAACGATACTATTATCCATTTAACTCTTTATGAAATTAATTTAGATTACAAGGAAATAACTCTATTAATGAAAATTATTAGTAAGAAAAATAATTTGATTAATTTAAATCTTTCTCAAAATGAACTGGGTTTTGAGGGAGGGAAGGCACTAGCAGAAGCTCTTTTAATAAACACAACATTGAATTCATTATATGTTTATGAAACTCAACTCGGTTCTAATGGTGCAAAAGTACTAGCAAATGCTCTTTGTAAAAATACTACTCTAAAGTCTTTAGATATTAGTAATAATAATATTGGTTTTGAAGGAGCAAAAGCATTGGCAGAGACACTCTGCTTAAACACTACGTTAACTTCTTTACATATTAGTTGTAACAATATTGGCTCTGAAGGAGGAAAAGCATTCGCTAAGACACTCTGCTTAAACACTATGTTAACTTCTTTAAATATTAGTTGTAACAATATTGGTTCTGAAGGAGGAAAAGCATTTGCAGAGGCTCTTTACTTAAACACTGCTTTAACGTTTTTAGATTTATACCAAAATAGACTTGGGCCAAAGGTTGCAGAAGCATTAGCAGAAGTACTTTGTAAAAATTCTACTTTAACTTCTTTAGACATTTCTTGCAATCAACTTGGTTCTGAGGGAGAAAAAGCAATAGCAAAAGCACTTTATAAAAACACTACCCTAACTTATTTGAATATTTCTTCTAATCAACTTGGTACTGAAGGAGGAAAAGCAATAGCAAAAGCACTTTTTACAAACACAGCCCTAACTTCTTTAAATATTTCTTCTAATCGGCTTGGTACTGAAGGAGCTAATGCATTAGCAGAGGCCCTTTGCACGAACACCACTTTAGTTTCATTAAACGTTTACAATAATAAAATCGATTTTAAAGGAGGAAAGGCATTTTCAAAAGCACTTTGCAAAAACACTACCCTAACTTCTTTAAATATGGGTAAAAATAATATTGGTTTTGAAGGAGGGAAAGCATTTGCTGAGGCACTTTACATAAATACTACTTTAAGATCTCTAAATCTTTCTTGTAATGAGCTTAATTCTGAAGTTAAAAAAGCCTTTCTGAGTCACTCAGTAAGAGTATTACTATAATGTCCTTAATTATTAATGATAGTCAATTTAATTACAAAGGCATGAATACAATTATACAAAACTACATCAAAAACAAGATATTTTTTTCAAATTTTTGCTTGAGAGCTTTGATGACATCCAACTTTTTTATTTCTTGTAATATTAAAGAAAATACGTTAATTTAAATTATATCCACGTGACTATCTGGCTTTAATTAATTGATTAGTGGTGCATTCGCATATTGTCAATTAATTGCAGGTTTTAAAATGTGATACAGTACAGTAATAAAAAAGATGTAGCATATGTAGTTACATAAAAAATCGAACGATCATGAGATTTCTTTTCTTTTAATGAAATTGAAAATTTATAAATTGTATAAACTGCTCTTTTCTCAAACTATCGTTTTTTTTTATACCTGCCTTGGAAAGTTTACAATTCAAAGAGATCGCTCAAATACGTAACTTTGCCATAAACTTTCATTCACATTTTAACGAATTATATTTTACTTCTCGCATTAAAAGCTTTTATAAAAAATAAAAAAAAATAGAGAAACCAAAAGAATAACGAATACGTATCATCTCTTAGCTTTGTTCATATGACCAGAAATTCAACTATTCTATCAATAATCTTTTCATTTGATATAATAACCCAACGTCAACGAGGATCTTGGGTTAATGAATTTTTTTTCTATATTTAACTGACGACGAAGGCTATAATTTTTGACAATGACATTTGGCAAGAATCAATAATGGACCATTCAAATATCTATCATAATGTTTATTTTTTTTGATTGTTTGTAATAAATAGAATAAATAAGAATAATTACGATCACCCATTAATCATATCGAAAGTGGTGTGGTGCTTGAGAATATTTCAATTAAATCATAAAATCGCATATTCGAATTTTCATAAAAAATTTTATGTAAATATAATTATAGTTGGGCGCTATTGAGATAAAAATTACATCGATATTGACGCTTGAGTGCACATTTTATATCACAATAATTTTGTTATAATTTTGACATTTATTTTTTACGCACATAATAAAGGGGTTTTTCCTTCCAGGATCATCAGTTCATAAGAATTGATTGTATATACACATCTCTCTGCCTCACTTTGCTTAACCTTTTTTCGAACTTAGCACTTTCATCTATATAGCAACTTTTTTTTTTTAGCTTTTTTATATAGCTCTTGGCTCATTTCAATTGTTTATAAAAGTTTATTGATCATATTATGTTGACCCTCTCAAAACCGATCCTGTCAAAGCCGATAACTTGTCAAATCTGATAAAAAAATTAATCTACTAAGTCCGTTCCCGTTATATAAATCTAATAGTTTGTTATGTTTTCAAATCTAATAGCCTCTTAAAACTGATACAAAACCTGTCCACTATGCATACCGATTCCGAGAGGGTCGACTGTACATCATCAATGGACCAAATAAAGACACCTTCTCTATCGAATTCATTGCCCTTAATCAGGGGTGCTGAGTAATTGATTGCAATTAAATTTAGAGAAAACTAGTATGTTTTTTTTTATGAAGGTTTAAATTGTTATATCCAAAGTTGACTGTATATAAACTGCCGTATACAAGACACTCACAGGTATCAGGCAACTATGTCTTAGACCCGCAGTTTCTTTTAAATATTTAGGCCACTCATTATAAATGAATATATATGTTGTGCCTCAGACTAACGCTTGCCTCAGATCACAGCCAACGCACCTCCGATTCAGATCGTCAGGTGAGGTGCGTAAACTACGTATTGATCTATCATCTAAACTGCAATCTGACGAAAGTAAGAGAGTAAAATAAATTGAATAAAAGGCTTTTGACTTGGACACTTTTTTTATTCTTGCTTTCTTGAATCTCTTCGGCGTTTTTCTTATTGGTAGCATCCAGCACCTCTATTCTTTTTTTTAAATTTCTTTTCCCGAATTTTCGTGGCACATTCTATTTCCATTTAATATTCACTTTTTTTTCTATACATATGGTTGTTTTTTTTTTTCCTAAATTTTCTCTGCATACTCTTCCTGTTTAAGTCTTCTCGGCACGTTCAACTTCAATAATACATTTTATTCTATGCATATTTTTTTTTCTGTGAGTAATGACTGATCGATAAGTTACGCACCTCATCTAACAATCTACACCTGAGGTGCGTCAGCTGTGATCCGAGGCAAGCGTTAGTCTGAGGCACAACATATATAAATGATCTACATCATTTTGTTTACATTAGTTGCTTATTTGTTTGGTTGTCTTATCGTTTGCGCAAAGACGCGCTCTGAATGATAATATGATGGCTAATCTTGTTGCTTCAGCAACATCTCTCGTTCTAAAATTTTAATTTCATTTTCGGTAAACATGAAAACCATACCTCCAGAAGCACTATACACACATGACAAAATTTATTGACGATTTTTTGTAGATGATATATAGAATACATCAATTCAATTGATTAGCCGTCTTTAGGCAACAAATCAGAAGTTTGAAGGACAAAAACAAAGGTATTATTAAATTATTATCTACGTATGTACTAAAATTTCAGATGTTTATACTAAATTTGAATATGCTTTAAATATTATGAATCGGATAAAGATCTTGGAGGAGGAAAGACAGGAATTGTTCTACTGCCCTGCAAATAATCATTCTACTGCCCCCGCAAATAATCATTCTACTGCCCCCGCAAATAATCATTCTACTGCCCCCGCAAATAATCATTCTACTGCCCCTGTTATTAATGTTGATGACACAGATTGATATTAAGAATACAAAGAAATCAGGAACTACAAGATGAAGTCTTATATTTACGTGAAAAAGTTTACCAGCTAGAACAAGAGAAAGAACTAAAATAAAAAGCTAAAGATCTAAGTGACAAAAGTTTTCCAATAAGGTATGTTCTAAAATAAATAACGTTTCTCACATTATTATATTGATCTTCGATCAAACCCTGTTTATTTATATTCACGTATTACAATTATTTTAGCTTCGTTGGTAATATCAATGGTTTTAAATTGTCATGTGATAATCTGTACATACGTACGTACTGTACGTTGTGAAGGGCAAGATCGACCATCCAGAAAGAAAAGTACGGGTACAAATTCTCAAATCGTTGGAGTACCCGGAATCTAGATAATTTTTAGTATCTAGAAGATAATGGGAATAAGAAGAATAATTTAGATAGCGAGAATAGATTAGAATTCCTTGATATGTATAATTAATTATATGTAGAGAAGTTTTCCTCCTGTAATAAAGATAACTCATTAGAGTTCGACTCAACTAGAGTCTATTATCTTAACATTAACGTTTCGCTCTAATCCCCCTGATAAATGATTATAAACCCGTGATCCTGAATAGAGTTTCGTGATGTATGTAATGTAATTGTAAACTTGTAAATTGTAAACTGTAAAATTGTAATGCAGCCAAATTGTTTAATTAATTATAAAATTACTTTAACTTTAATTTTCTACTATATTATTAAAAATAATTTTTTAAAAAATTTAAGACAATAAATTTGTTTAGCTTGATGGTTTTATTATTCTATGTTAAGCTATCTTGAAGTTTTTAAAGTAACTAACATAGGAAAAATTTGGTACGTTTCAACTGACTCACTACAGTATTATAAAATAATGTAAAATTACAAATGAATTATCATAAATTATTTTTTGGGTGCTGCTAAGTTCGTGGGGGGTTTTTTTTTTAGCAGCACTTATCTTATTCGCTAGTTACAGAAGGCGCATACACGTACGATTCATAAAACGGCGAGTCTTAATTATTTATACAGCCAGACCTCTATAAATGCCTTGGGACCACGCTTTAATAATGTTCATAGTATAGAGAATAATAAGAAAAGGTGCATTTATAGATGTCAAGTATATATTTGGACCAGCACTTGAGCTTGCATTTACACTTATAGAGGGTGCACTTAGAGAGGTCTGACGTTTCAATACGGATGTTTTAGGTTTCTACTGCATCTCTACTTCTGGCTTTTTTTTGGTTTCTACTGCATCTCTACTTCTGGCTTTTTTTTAAAAAAAAAAATATTCAGAAATTAAAAAGACTTTTTTTAAAAAAATTAAGTTTTTTGATAAGCAGGATTTTTTTTTAAAAAAAAATTTAAATATGGTATTTTTTAAAAAAAAATTTTTTAAATAAAAAAAAGGTTCTTTTAAACTTGGCTTTAATTAATATAGCATTTTTTTTATAAAAAAGAAAAAAATTAATCGACTAATTATTATATAATTTCTGACTTTTTTTTTAAAAAAAAGGGTTATTCTTTTTTTTAGTTTCGTAATTATTCAGCAGAAAAATTTTCAAATACGTAACTTTTTTATTTTTATTCTTCACATAATAGACGAAAAAAGTGCGCTTGAACAACTTGATATAATCTCGATTTCTGGAACATCATTAGCCAATATACGTAAGCATACAACTATTTGATTGTATAGGCCGCAAAGCGTACTGTATAAGCGCGTAATAACGCGCATGCGAACCATTATACTAATTTTTTGTCCCTCATCGAGGGTGTTACAAAAGGAAAACAACTATGGGTTATCTGTCCCTTCCGCTTTGTGCTATACATACTAACAGTGCAGAATTCGAGAGTATCGATCGAATCGCCTAAGGCCTAATAGACTTCTAATACTATTTTATATCACAAAGGGTGGGGTGAAAAAAGCCAGACAATTCTATCTGGCTAGTCATCCAACGAATGCTATGTACTACAAATACAACAAATCTCTTTCGTGACTGTCATCTCGACAGGTCACTTCTATGTACTCAAACATTGTAACCATCGTAAGGGAGAGCTTGGTACTGCCGAGTTTAACTCCGATGGTTGACGTTAAAATGGTCACATGAATTGGGCAATGAATTAGATATTCGGATATTCATGTTTTATTTGGCATTTTGTAATAAAAAGAATGTGAACTTATGTTATATTTATTTTGGAGAGGAATTTAGAGAGCGTCCTCTCTCTCAACTAAGGATGAGAGCAAACACTTATATACATGATAATTTTTTAGAGCGTGATCATAACGACTACAGTGTACCGCGGTAGCTTCCGCGTATTCGCTGCAACCACCACGTATTCGCGGTTGCCTCCAACAATATAATGCCTAATACTACTAACATAGTTATGATAGTACAATTATGGAAGGTAAGTGACAACTTAAAGAGTTAGACAAATACGGAAGTGAGGAGACACAGGAAAAATTCACTTAGTGGTTGTCGTCCCGACAGGCCACTTCTGTACATACAGACACTAAAAACAAAAAACAAAAACTGTTGTGACAGTCATCCTGACAGGCCACTCTTGTACACAAAAGCGAGAATTCTCCCTCGTGGCTGTCGTCCTGACAGGCCACTCCTATCTCCAAATGCCACATATGACTGTCATCCAACAGGTCATAACTTACCCAAAACAACTGAAAAACGTCCGTCTAATTAAAACCTTATGCCTTCTAGGTCGTGTACGAAGATTGGGTAGGGTGGGACGAAAAAAACAAAGTCGGGTTAGCAGAAAAAACAGAACTTACCTTTCCTGGGAAAAAACCCGTTCAAACGATAACTAATCGCAAAAATTACGTCATTATGTCATAATATCATACAATGAATCACGACAATGCATCAAGCGAATCATACAATAATGCATCAAGCGAATCATACAATAAATCAGAACAATGCTACAAAATCATACGATAAATAAATCAATATACACCCATGATCGATTCGACTTTCGTATCGGGCAGCTAATAACGCGCATGCGCGATAATTCAAACTATTATACTAATTTTGAGGAAAACCCTTGTCTATTATAAACTCTACCCTAAAACTCTAAAAAAATGCACCTAAAATTTTTATTTTCGTAGGCTTGTCTATTTTTTACATTGTCCGACTTAATTTTAATCTGTCACAATAAATACAAAAAAATGAATTTATACATTGTAATAAATATGTAGCGGGCCTTAAACTAACTTATCCAGGCAAGAATAATTACTAGTACAATTGTGTAAAGTGTGTGTGTTGGGACAGTGTTCAAGCAAGCTCCGAAGCACAAACTAACCAATTTAAGCAAGAAACATTTCCTAAAAAAACTATATTTCTTTATTACTGTATTAACCATTATTACCACCCACATGTGCACAATTTAGCCCTAATAATAAATAAATTTGGAAAGGGCTTCGAGACATCTCGTTATTCTTCTACTTTATTAAAGTAATTAGTTTATACATTTACATTCGTACTAACAGATCTTGAATGAACACACTTTCGTACTAAATAAATTATAACCCCTGAATACAGGAATATCATTATCAAAATAAATCATAATACAGTCTCTTAACTATTCATGACCTAGAATATCAAAAAGAATATTATCGACTAATTGGTCGGTTCAATCTCTATCTGATTGGTTTTTAGATTGACTTTTGAAAAATTAATGAGGTTTTGATCTTAGGCTTTAATGAAGAAAATTTAATTTCATAAGCTATACATGAAAATTTCAATATATCTTTCTATTTTCATGTAATTTTTAAAACCTCTACAAAAAAAAAAAAAAAATTACAAATTAAAGATAAATTGATTGTCTATTTTTTTTGTATATTCCTTACATCCCCTTATCAGCAATTCGTGATTAATGAACAAATGAAAGAATAGAATCATCATCATTTAAAGCTTCCACATCATTTTTTACTGATTTTATTATCCAAAACCATAAAAATTGACATAAGGTTGTATAATATATAGCGATAAGCCAAATAATTGCAAGGTTAACTATATTCAATACACATCCAAGAAGGTTTGTGGCAATATTACAACCAAATAAACTGGTTTCATATGTTGTTTGTTGTATGTAGCTATATGTTTCTCGTCGTAGGTTATATGTTTCCTTTTGTAAATAGCTATGTGTTTCTTGTAAGTAGTAAGAATATATACCTATTTAAAATGAATTAAAAATAGAGAATTTTAGAATCAAGTGATAAAAAGTTTTATTTTCTAACGTCAGTAAGTTTGAGGTAGAGAACCAAAAACCCATTAGAATTCGTTGGAGATTTCGTAAATGTCGTGACCAACTGCGACAATAGTATCTTGATTAATAGAACTAACTTACATGCAATGATTAATAGCAATGTTCCTTTGACTCTAATTAGATCAGATAAAAAAAAAAGAATTTATAATAAAATTAAATGACAGAATAAAATATATGCCATAGAAGAAAAGAAACTAACAGGTCAATTCTATGATATCTTAATATTCTTCCTTTGTTCACAAATATTAAATCTGAACCTAATAAAAAGGCTGTTTCAAAGATATTTTTTTTATTCAACTTGACAAAATTAAAAATAGACAAATTTGAGAATAAATAATGACACGTTACCGTCGACAATAAATGAAACGTTCAATATACACGCGTAGCTATCATAAGGAAAAAAAAAAGATGTTAAGTAAAATAAAACCAGTAAAAGGCAAATACTTGAAATATGGTCATTAAAATGACAATTTATTACGTCAATTCAATGCCTTCTATTATTTCATTGCTTGGCAATCCATATACGCAAAACACAATAAGTTTTGACGTCACTAAATTCAAAAAAAAAACTTCAATCAATAAATTAATAAACTCAATCGATAAATTTGATCATTAATTCTGTATTTACCAAAAATAACAGCCAACGCATGTAGAATAATTGCTATATATCTTGGAATAAATAATCTTTTCACTTTAGCATAATCCATTAGAGATAATATTACAAAGTTGTCAAGAACGATTCATTATGTGCAAACAATTTACGATGATGTTGCTTTTATAATAAAATTACTCGTGAAAAACATGTGCGTTCTAAATTATAAATTCACTATTTTTGTCACTAAATGGCATTAGATCTCTTCTAATACTAACTTATTAAGGAAACATGAATTTGCAAATATGTTCGTCCAATAATAAAATCTCCTTAAAGTCACGGTGCGATAAACTATGACGTATCAGGTATATACTATTTATTACTTTTAATTATCCGGTTTATCCGATCTAGCCCAATCAGATAAAATCCGTTTATATAAACGATTCTATCTCTAGGTTAAAGATAGCAGGTAGTTAATAAGTAATCTTTGTTGTTCCTAGCTTTAAGAGCATCGTAAAACTTTTTCACTTTGCCTATTTTGCAAATCGATTTTTATTTATAATTGAATAATAATAAACATATCGAAGTTCTGGATAGGGCTGTTAACGGAGTGATCCAGTGTTGGTGTGGTGTGGTGTGTACTCTGCCAGAGTAAGGGGGACATCCAGAAAATAGTGTTATCTCAGAGGGAGAATAGAGGGTCTAGAAGTCTATAACGGAGCTTAGTACAGTATAGCATTTCTATTTGGGGTGGTTTATCCTTAATAACGTTATTTATAGATGCCCCCTAACCATCAAAATCAAACCACACCAGAGCAGTTTTACTCAGAGTATGTAAATGTCTTGTTAGTTACAGTTTAGAATTTGTATCTAGAACAACTTCATTTACTATGATGAAGAATATTTTAATAAAATTCTTTTAATATACAACAATTGATAAATCTTTAATCTGGAGTAGTAGCTCAGGGGTATAAGCCACTCTAATTGACTCCTACGTACGTATAGCAATTTGGAGTATTGTACGTAGCATATAAACCACACCGACATTGAATGGTTTATACTATTAAATTACTCTTGAGTATAATACTCCATTAACGGCCCATAGTTTCATCTTTTCTACTGAAAAAACTCCAAGTATGCTATTTTCTTGATGAATAGAATGTCAAAAGTGATTGAATTACATTTAGTTCATTAAGATTCCAATATCCCGATTCTTGGCAAGTAATACAAGATCCCAAATTAAATTTATTGCAAACTATACAGTTTTCATCTACTGATCCCAAAATTGACCCGTGACTCGGGATTGTCCGACCCGTAAAAATTTATTTGTATTATAGCAATTTTTATTAATTTCCTTATGTTCATTCATTTTCTCATTCGGAGATTTTCGGAAAATTTCAGAATCTACACTACAGACATTTTTAGCCAATCAAGTTTATAGAAAAGATCAGTGATTTAACCAAATCAAAATTTTACGCATACCGTAACGGTAATTTATCGACAAACTCATATGATCATGAAAAACTTTCTTTCTGTTATTTTTTTTCATGTGTTACGATGTAATTATGTTTTTCCAATATTCAAAAAAAAAAAAAACTCAGCGAGTGACTCCCTACCAATCATGATCATAAATTGTCGGATAATGTATACTTATTATTCAGTTTATTACATAAAAGCTACCTCTAAACAAATATTCAAAACTGTCTATTATTATTATTAGAACTAATGATGGCATGCGCACAAATTTTGAGAATCATGCGCATGATTTTGTAAGAATATTTTAATGAGCCTAAACTGTAAGTATATAGACAATCATTTTTAATTAAAAAATTAGACAAGTATATCTAATTCTTATTTTAAAAAAAACCGTTATTATAATAAAGTACGAATTACCAATTTATTTTAACGTTTAAAACTGAGTTTCATGGTAAATCTGATTATCTTCCAAAACGTATTAGTATAAAAGATCAGTAATTTGATGGCATTTAATGGTTTTATCACGATAACCAAATCTGTACAGCAAGAGTATAAATGTATTAAATACCCAATAGCAAATCGGTTTTAAAATAAATATTTTAGAAATTACAAAGATCTATAGTTGAATAATCTGATCATCTATACCATACTGATCTCGTTTTCAATATTGGTTAAAAAAGAAATCACTACTAATGCTAATACATGATCCGCCGCCATGACTTCATACAAAATGAAGAATAACACCCTTATTTTCCACTCGAGAAATAAGCTGGTAGATCTTCGGCTATATGAGGGCCCAAGGGCCCTCATATCCGTTGCGAAAAATAAACAGTACTTATTCATTTATAATTTGATTTCTTATTTCATTGATTTAGTAAGTGATTATATCATGATAGTGGGTGCATTTAAAATAAGCCATTTCTTTATATTTATACGTATTAAATCAGTCTATAAGTATAGTCTAAAATATGCCAAAAAAATTTTTGCAGTTATTCTATATCGGTAAGATTATAATTCTCTGCCATTTCTCATTAACTTATTTAGGTTAATTTAACCGGAAAGTATAAAATAATTTGTTAAAGTATTCGAAAACAATGTATGCACTTCTTATTAGTTTTATTAGTTTATTGTCCAAACTGATAAACAATTTTTTATGTATCTATTATTATTTATTATTCGTGCTGATTTATGATACATAAATTATAACTTGATTTTTTGATTATAAATCTTAGTCTTATCTGAACTCAAAGTTGTATGGTGCCATACTTACGCTTGTACTGTATATTATAATAGTGCTCATAATCTAAACCCAACAAAAATCACAAAAAATTAGGTTTTGGTCCGTTCTATAAGAGACCAGACTGGGCCCGGTCCTAAGACACTAGTTAAAGAGTATATTGAGTTCGTGAACTTTCGAACTGAACCCGAATTGAACTTGAACATGCTCTAAAGTTCGATATCGGGCTGAACTCGTACCACTTTTTTAGCATAGGTTCAGTTCAAAATTCGAACCGAACCCGAACTTAACCTAAGTTCGGTTCAGTTCGGGATAGGAACACTAGCTTGAAAGTAAACTTTACTTTAATAAATTTTATAAGCAAATTTAAAATTATTAGCAATATTAAAAATTTTATATACAGTATTGAATAGCAAAAAATATTTTGTTAAAATAGATTTTTATTTTTTAATATATAATTAAAAAACTATTTTAAAGTTTATATGTGTCGACAAAATTGATAAATAAAAATTTAACCGGCTATCAAAAATTGTCCTTTAAATCTTTCAAAAAATTCTAGTATATAACCTACATACATCAATACTAATCCAAAAAACCCAATAAGCAATTGTTTAATTTTAATAATCAAGATATCCGCGCAATTATAATTTATCAGTAAACTTTCCTAGATGTTCGAAAACACATTTGCGAACATTGGAAATATATTCTGGTGTAGTTTTACAACAACCACCGATAATAATCTTGAATCTAGATCGTTTAGCCCACGATATTGCACAAGTTCCGAATTCTAAGCAATTTATTATATTAATTTTAATTATGTAAAAAAAAAAAAACCTAAAATATAGTAATATTAATTTTACTCTCACTTTCGGATTTCTAGACGGTTCTACCTCTAAATCCCGAAAAACAGATTCCCGAAAAGACGTAACATATATCAACAAAGTTAGCCGGCGTTAGTTATAATGTTGGCCAATTTTAGTCGGTATTATGTTCTTTTGGGAAAATAGCTTTTGGGATTTCGTGGTAGAACCTTTCTAGACACAAATTTAAGCTAATGAATGGGTTAGATAATTTGTAAATAAATTACACATCAAGAAATTTTTAAATAAAGTGCTTATCGATTAACATTTCTTTCTGTTAATCGATTGCCAACCAATTTAAAATTTTCCTGATGTATATAACTAATATTATGATTATTTGTTTAAATCAAAATTTTGGGATAATTTGAATATAGTTTGGATTTTGATGTAGACAAACTTATTATATAATAGTTTTGCATGTATAAGTGAGGTAAAATTAATGTTATCCCTCTTTAGCAACACTGTACATAAAAGATTTTACATTTACCTTCAGCAGAAAGCCCTGTACAATTCCAATCCTTTTTAAATTCATCCCACTCGAATCCACCATCTGGATAGCAAACAATAAATCTATCTGTAGATCCAAGGGCATCCATTTCATTACGAATTAAATTTACCAAATTTTCAGCATACTTAGGTTTAGTGCAATTTATACCAATAGCAACAATTGAATCTATGGTACAACAAAGTTTGATGCTTTCTATTAAAGTTTCACCATGACAATTTAATGAATCGTTTTTACAAGGAAATGAGATCCAACAAGGAACAGAAATTTTTTCTTCTCGTAATACAGAACAAATTGCATCAACTTCTTGAAATGATGGAATCGTTTCAAATGCTATTAAATCAATATCTGTAAATTTTGGATAAAATATCCTCATCCTTTCTCTATGAAAATTTTTAAGGTAGGAGGTGGTTATATCAGGTCCATAATCACCAGAATATTCAGATCCATTATGTAAGGTTGCACCAAATGGTCCAAACGAGAGTGCAATTAAAGGTTTAATCCTAGTTATATCATTGGGTTGATATTCAGTCCAAAATTGATCCCGAGCTTCGGTGGCTAATGAAACAGATTTTTGCATTAACGATATTGCTTGATCATTTGAAAATCCGCATTGCATAAAACCTGATATGGTTGCTTGATAACTAAATTTTAGTAAAATAATAAAGAATAAGAATGTGTATGTCATATAACTTCATTCCTATTAAAAGTCAATTTCTTTAAAAGCAAGTTTTATTAAAATTCACTTTAGTTGATCTTTTGATACGAGTTATATACAGTATATTTACACTCTCTAATGTAGATTTTACGTTGGAGAGAATTGACTGTATAAGATATTATTTAGTTTATACTAGAGTTGTTGGTGAAACTAAATTGAGCTGGTGAAACTGGTGACTATCTAAAATCTGATTGGCTGTTTTACAATAGCCAATCAGATTTTAGATAGTCACCAGTTTCACCAGCATCAACAACTCTAGTTTATACACGTAAAAAAGCGAACCTGCAGGTTGTAATGATATCCGCGCCTGCTCTAAGATAAGATAAATAAATATCTCGTATTGCTTGCGGGTCTTTAAATAAATAAGCAGCAGACCATAAATGTGATGAAAGATCTTTATGATGAACTCTCTCTAGCTCTGTAGCAATACCACCATCTAATATCAAAGGTGAGCTCAGTTTTAGAAAGTCCTGAACGTTCATTTTTGGTATACTGTCAAAAGAAAAGAAGTATTCAACAATCCTGAAATCTTATAATTCAAACGTAAAAAGTGTAATAATAGTGTGATGTTGCGTAAATATAACAAAAGAGATGTAAGGGTCGAATTTATATAGGTTTTGGCCGCCTATTTTAGATAAATTAACAATCAAATTCGGACATAGTACGTAACAATCAAATTTTATACAGGAGCGACCGTCGATGTTACACGACTGATTTTTCACACGGTGTGAAACACATAAAAAAATTATTTTACAATAC